CCCCAAAACCCCAAAACCCCAAAACCCCAAAACCCCATTATCTCTGAAAATAATTGAAAATAGTAAAATTATTCAGAAATTTAGCAAAATGGTAAGTCTTGAAAGATCATACATAGACCATGAGGAACCACGAACTTCATTTAAAGGGCAAAAGTACACAGATCTCAGTTTATTACAATAGTTTGAACTGTAGCCAGAAGGAGAAGGCTAGGTCTGATCATCTCCTAGTCTACCTTAGCTCGAAAGATTTCTTAGGGCTCCATGGTACTAAAAATTCCAGGCAAGGTCTAGTCAAGTTCAATTTTGTGGACGTCAATCAAATGATGATTTCTAAGAAGCCTAATGAAAATATTCGTCAAAATTTACTAGAGTATTATGGCTTGAAGAAAATTGACGGAGAGGTTTGTTTACCTCAGATTGTGCTCAATGAATACAAACTGAAGAAGAAACCTATCCAGACCTTGAAGAGAATCAAGCAAGGTTCCAACTCAGCAGCTCCCTCTCCAAGGGAGGATTATGGTCTTATTGGATCTCAGAAAGGCGGGTTTAGCGAAGCTAGCGAAATCTCAACACCAAGAAGCAAGAAAATTGGTCTTCCCTCTCAACAATCAACCAATTGTTTCAAGAGAAGATCAAGTTTTCAGGAAGGTCAAGGTGAAAAGTTTGCAGAAGCCAAAAGAATCTGGATCTGAGACTATAAGTCATCTGTTTATCTTATGGACTGCAAAATTTTCAAGGATGTGCTTTTAGAGAAGAGATGACCTCATTATAGGCTATACAAAAGAGTGCCTATTTATTCCTACACTAAAGGAAATGAAAATGATTTGGCTACAAGCCAGTGCTCAACCTGCTATTTGGCCAAAAATCCAAGTTCCAGGTATAATCTTGTGGTTATTGGGCATTTCATGAGAAATGACTGTAGAGAGCTCCACGAAATCTGCACTGCTCTAGAAGAAAATAAGGTTTACTACCACAGGATTGACAAGGATAACCTTAACTCTCAGTCAGATGTGAACTTCATCAAAAAAGCTCACAAAATTGAAACCAAATATTTTCCCAACGAAGAGCCCGACTTCAGTATCTACCTCTTCGGCCTAAAAATCTCCCCTGAAACCATACAGTCAGCTTTGCTCCCGAATGGGAATTTGTTACAGTCAATAATCTCGAAGCATAGGTGTACGTTCTGTTTTAAGCAGTGTCAGAAGAGGAGATCTGGGAGGGAAGGAAGGGGGAAGAAGGATTCGTTACCGATTTGTAAGGCGTGTGTGGCCAAGGGATTGCATAAGTGTGATGGAAGGTATTATACAGCGGAAGTGGCCTGTAGTGTGGTATCGAAAATACTATCTAAACAAGTCGCCAAACCCAAAAATACCTCTTCTAAAGTTCCTTGGATTATTCGTGATTTCAGCACCCAGAAGAAAGCTCCTCTATCCTGCCGACATCTCGGCACCCCTAACACAGGGAGACTTCCCCACTCAACCACGGAAGACCTAGATAGTGAGAATGTAAATCTTATCAAAATTGACAAGAAGAAGATGCACTTTGAGTTCCCAGGTTAACAAATCTTCAACTAACTTTACTGAAATTTGATAAAGTTCAATTTGTAATTCACCTAAGGGGTTTTGGGGTTTTGGGGTTTTGGGGTTTTGGGG